ACTACTAGTAAGGCACCTGTTACTACTAGCGTGGCACTTGTTACTACGAGCTTCTTGTTACTTGTGAGCCTAAGTAGCCTTGCCCGTAAACATGTTTCCATGTGTGTGTTTCACTTGTGCATGAACTGTTTTTGGCTCAAGGGCCAATACTTTTTGGCTCAAGTGAGTGGCTAGGAGTAGTGCAAGTAGCTTCTCAGCTTCACTAGGCCGTTTCACCGTCTCACCAGCGTGACTGACCCGCGACCTCGCTCGTGCGAGCAGAAACAGCTGCGCGGCGTTCGTACGCGTGCTCGCAATTGGGGGCTGTTCTGGGAAAGGCCTCCATCTGTGTGTGGAGGCTGGTCGCGGTCGGTGGTTGCGGCTCGCACCACCAGCGCGCTGGTGAGGAGGAACCGCGGGCGGGGCTCGTGGTTCACGGCCTTGCTGCGGGATGAGCCGAGAAGTTGCAGGAGAAGAAGAGGGCGTCACTCTGCTGGAAGCGATCCGGGATGGAAGGGTGCCTACCCCGGAAGAGATGACGTTCCCTCGGTGGCAGGCTTGGCGACGTGCCGCCGGCCGTAGGCCCACAAGGAGAAGGGACGGCAGAGGCCTGCCGACAGGTGAAGAAGTAGCCCTCTGGAGGAGCGTCATGGATGAGCTCTATGGCGAGGGCAGGGCGGCGGAACTTGACGAGGGCGATGAAGAGGAGGAGATGGGGACTCCCTAGGGGGTACCCCCCCCTGGTCCCCCACCTCAAATAACTAAAATATTATTTTGGGTACCTTGACATACCCCCAGAGAAAATTACTTTGTCTAGTCTCGACTAGGTGAAATAATTTCATGGCTGCACACAAGAGAATGATAGAAAATGTATGCAAATCTCAGCCAGCTCCTGTTTTTCCCGCGGGACCTTGTCAGGTTTGTCGTCGTCAAACGCTTTGTCAGCGCCTGGTGTACTCCACTCAAGCTTCCACTTCGGAGCTTGAAGAAACTGTTTTTAAAAAGTATTGTTGTTTTTTCTTTCCCGAACATCACCTGGATAAACTTCATTGTTCCAACCCTGCTGGAACAACAATAAAACTCCTAGCTGGCTAAAGCCAGCAGGCTCTAGCCCTGGAATCTAATCCAGCTGGTACAACCGGTGATGCCCATTCAAAGAAGCGAAATTATTTTGAGTGCATGGAAGTTACAATGGTCACCAATGTATCCTAATTATGTCAAGTGCATGGAAGTTCCAATGGTCATCAACGTATCCTAATTATTTCAAGTCCTCTGAGTGATAGCTGTTTATTATTTTGGAGGTCCCTGGAACCCCCACCTCGATGTATCCTCCAAATTCCAAATTATTCTGTAAAAATTATTTAGCTCACATACCCCCACCCTGGAATAATTTCAACAAGGGGGTAGCCATAAGAGGAGGAAGAGAGGCCGTCGGCATCGGCCTCCCCTTCTGTTGCGTCTCGTGAGGTCGCCTTGGTGAATAGCCCACGCCCGTCTTCAGTTGGCACTGGAGGAGTCAGCGTGGTGAGCCTTCGGGCCAAGTTGCAAGCGTTGTATGACCCTTCGGCGGGGGAATTCGGAGCGTACCTGATGCGTATGGGACGAATCATCTCCGCTTTCCAAGCCTTGGACGCAGCTGTTCCGCCGGGTCTGTTAGAGACAGTGACAAGAAAGGCGGAATTCATGATCGAACTGTATGGTGAGCATGGGGGTTTGGACAAAGTGAGAGCTGTGCGTTTCTTGCGAGACAAGTTCGTAGCTTACGCGCAGGATGAGACCTTAGACCCTCGAGAGAGAGACAGTTCGATCGCCGCGATCGGTGAGTTGATTGAACAATTGGGAGGGAAACCGAGTTCGAGCCCAGGAAAGGTGTATAGTACTCCGTCTGGAGCGGAGGAAGCAACGGTTCCTGTGGCTCGCGGTCCCGTCAGCGGTCTTCGCGACGTCGGACGCGGCCAACGACCGGCGCCCGGTCCCGCTCCTAGTTCGGGACCAGAACAAGATGGGGATTTCTCTCTCAGGGCCAAGCTGGCAGCTCTGGAGATGGAGCTGGAGGCGATGAAGCGAGAAAAAGCCGAATCAAAGGCCGGTTCAGCGTTGGGATCGGAGCAAGGCTTAGCAGCCGCCTTGGCCCAACAAGAAGGCAGCGCTGGAGGCACAAACAAAGGTGCTCCAGGAAGCGTTGGGACGAGGCGGAGGCAATCAGTCTGTCACCGCGGTCAAAACAGACCTTCATTGGCCGACCTTGACAGACGAGCGCTCTGACTTCAAGGATGTCACCTTGTTCTATGAGGAGTTCGAGGATGTGTGCGCCTTAGCGAACTCCTGCCGTGGAATGAATGCCCGCGAGAAACTGCTGGCTCTCCGAGCGCGCTGCCGGGGAAGTAGGCTGAAGACCTACCAGAACCTGTACCGGTCCGCCTGGAAGTCCGGAGAGGTCCTGGAAGACCCCGAAGCAGTGTATGAGCGCATCAAATCGAAACATTTGATGTTTAGTGAAAGCCGAGAAGAGCGAGAGATCCGCGTCGATGCGGAGCATGTCGCGCTCATGAAGGGGAAGCTCACTGGTCACCAGTTCGAACCTTTGTTCGAAGCGTCGGTGGCGGAATTGGAAGCTGTGGGTCTTGGAAAGACGCAGCGAGAGCTTTTCCTCTCCTACTTGAGGAAGGTTGGGAACAGTCTACAAGGGGGGGATCCGATCCGACAAGCGGCTTTGGGGACACGAAGACAAGCTCCGAGGGCCGCAGACCTGGGAGGAGGCCCATCGGGTCGTCCTCGAGTATGAGCAGCGAGAAGCGACTAAGCTAACAAGGCCACCGCCAATGCCGTGTTCACGACCACCGGCGAGGCCACGCGTCTTGCAGCGGATCTCGCAAAGAATCATTGAAGACCATTCGATCCACCTTTAAACGTACCTTCGTTGTGCTTCTGAAGAAAAAGTTAGCACTAACATT